GAGGACTTCTTAATTTCTAGAATATAAAGCTTAAAAACTAAAACTGATTTTAGCTGTATTATGTGCCATCACCACTTTCTCCAGGTGAGTTTAAATTCTTTTATCTGCTGCAGTATGAAACTGTATCAGAAGCTGTTCCACCATGGGAGTGTGAATAAGGCAAAAGGTGGGTTACTCAATTCAGGAGTGGTGCTGCCTTATGCTGGTCTGAGATTGAGTAGTGGGCCTTGAGGGGCTCTACTGGCACAAAGCTGAAAAGCACAAATGCAGGGTTATCAAAACAGCATTCCTTTAATACTTACAAGTGAGACTGCCAACATCTAGTAAAGGACAAGAGTTTGTGTTCTAAGTAAAACTTCTTTTGGTTGGTGCTGAAGTCACCAGTATTGGAAAATGAAATGGTAGTTGCATGTATTTTCCATTGATGTAACTGATGGTATGAGATATTGACCTACCCACTACCACGTTGATTTAGACAATATTACTATTAAAAAAAAAAAAAAAAAAAAGCTAGGATTCACTATCCCAGTCTATGTTGTAATATCTTACTCAGTGTCCTAATGTGAAGATACAAGCAACAAGGAGTACTTCTCTTTTAGTGTGTGTGTGGAGTTACAGAGTGACTTTGCACTATAATTGGGAAAAGCCAGGCCATCCCTCATTTCTCCTGAATTAATTCTGGTTGAAGTGTGTTCTTGTTAACATGTCTGGTACTTGACAAGGATGGAAAAGAGTCATTCTTTATGTGGTTCCATGGTAGCCTATAATAGGCAGAAATTAAAGCTACTTCATGTAAGTATGAGCTGCCTTATGGAAAAGCAATATTCTGCTTTCTGTCCCTTAAAGCCCTAGAAAGCAGAGAACCTCTTTATGACAGTATTTCCCATTCCAGCTCACTTAGTTTTGCTGTGTATCATATTTAAAAAAAAAAAAAAACCAAAAAAAAACCAAAAAGCAAACCAATCCCTGCTTATTTCAACTCTTGAATGTTTTTTGAAACATTGACATTTAAAATAAGGTAGATGTTTTCATACAAGACGTGTTGGCTTGCAAAGAATATATCCCAAATGTTAACAGACATGGCTTGTAGTTGTATTCAAGAAACAGTCTGCAGAATACACAGATCATATACATTAATTTAGGAAACCTTCTTTATGCTTAACTAATTGTAACTAATTTCTGTTGGCAGCTAATAACATATAGAGAAGTCTATTAGAGATTAGAAAATTTAACAGTGCCAGGAGGAGTCTGTTTAATGTTGGGGGTAAGTGCTTAATGTCATTGTTGATGATTTACCTTCAGTTGTTTATTATCCAAGTGTCCTGGCTTACATATACACGGAAGAAAAAAACCAGTGATGAATACTAGTATAGAGAGAAGACCAAACCTGAAAGTGTTTGGACTTGGAATGTCACTGTTTTCAGATTCAAAGTTTCTACAAATGAAATTTTTTTTTTTTTCTGCATTCCTGTTGAAAACTTTGAATACTAACACATTTAAGTCTTTTTATAAACTGATGAAAATGTGGAAGTTCCACATAACTAATTAAACCTGAAGCATGCCCATGAATGGGAAAAATCATACTTGCCAAGTTTAATCAAAATATGATCTTTCCAACTGCAGAGCATATAAAACCAATATGTTGCTTGAAACTTTTGCTGTCTTTTCTCTATTTTTATGCATTTTGGGAGTAGTACATGTTAAAGGAACCAAATGTGTCTTTGAACTCTGTTGGTTTAGCATAAGTATGTGATAGCTAATCAGTTCAGTGACACTAAACAGCCATAGAAGTCCTTTTAATTAATGCAAAATGGGATGCAAAAGATAAACTTAGAAGCCATGGGACCTCTGTGTGTGCTATGCCACCTATTGCACAGCATACACACGTTTTTATGTGTTGCCCTTTCTTTACACACGTGTTACATGAGAAGCTCTGCTGCTTGTCATCTGAGAAACTGGGCAGGGCTGCCGGGGTTTACTTGGCACCCCTGCAACAGAGACCCTGGAGGAGGCTTGTGTCCTTCTTTGGCTTGGTTGAGATGTGTTGTGGTATTGTCAAAAACCCATGGCTCAGCACACTTGTCCACCCAGCTGAACAGTCACACTAGAGAGTGGTGCTAGGAAATGACTGAAGAATAAGGGATAATAAACAGTCTTAGCAGGGAGCTACAGGTAGCAGTGGAACAATCTTGGGCATGGTGGTGAGAGTAAAACTGAAATTTACTCTCAGGAGGAGTGAGGGGGACTAAGGAACGGTAAATCGGAGCGTTCATTCATGAACTGTTTTGGAGTCAGCTTCCACTTGCTTCTTGCCTGGATATATGAATTGGAAGTTTTTTCTCTTAAAATATGGAATGAACTTCAAGCATCAAACCAGTTATTAAAATATAATTTGTTTTGAACTATGTTTGGCATTGAGGGTGGGAGAGTATATTCCAAAATCCTTGTTGACCAGTATAATTTTTCATTGCATTTTGAGATTTTCTGTTATTCTGGGTGGTTCTGTGGTGGTTGTGGGTTTTTTTGTCTTGTTTTTCTAATTTTGACGAATGAGGCAATGCTGACACCTTCATGATTCTGCAGAAGAAAAACTTCAGGATGTTCATATTGGAAAATGGTGCTGTTCCAGAAGTGTCTTGAATAACCAGTTTAAACCCTTGTAAAATTTGATCATGTAATTATGTGAATTTGTCCTTGGAGAAGGTTGGAGCATGTATGAAAGGTTTTATTTATTTATTTGTATGGCTAGGAATAAAGGCAAGGTCTTATTACTCACTGCATTTCCCCCAAGCTGCTTATCAAAAACTTTCAGAAAGGGCAGCTGGCAACAAAACAGACAACAAACCACAAACAAAGAAACACCACCACTCAAAAAAAACCCCACGCAGCCCCCTTGGTCATACATCTTAAAAACCTACATCATATACAGCTCTGTCTTTCTTTTCTGAACATTGTTTTTGTCCCATATACATCCATTTGGTCTCTAGCTTAGAAAATTAAAATTGATGTAGAGAGTATCATGCTACACTATTAAGTCTTAAAAATGAACTTTATTGATATTTAAGCTAAATCCTCTTCCCTACAACCTAAAAAAGTTTCAAAACCAGAAGCCCAGACAAAATAAGTTGGCAGAGGATATTTTGATGAGGATACTAGTATTGTCTTTTCATAGTAGTTATCTATATGCTTCAGATGATTAAACCAGAAGGAAGTGATAAAGTAACTTTTTACAAAAAGCTGAAATATGAACAGAGCTATAGTAAAGCCAGAAGAGTCCTGTGATACCATCATGTTATGGAGGAGACTGCTGTCAAGCACTTTTTTTTTTTTGTCCTACTAGTCTGTTCCTGTTAGCAGAAATAAGAGAGAAACTGTACAAATGCCTACACTAGATTATTTTTTATTAGATTTTTAACAGCAGGATCCTAGAGAATGTAACCCTGACTCTCTCCCCAGAAGGAAGGTAGGACATGGGAACTGAAGTTACAGTTAAATGTACATGGAAAAACTGACCAAAATAGAGTTTGTATTAAAATCACAATATACCAGAATCTTCATTTTTGACTATGATTGAGTCTGAAGTTTGATTTGGATGTGGGAAGGTATATTTTATTAAAAAATAGCTACGATACATTCTCTTCTTTCTCAGACTAATACACTGCAAAACTACAAAGCTATAGAGGCAAACCTGACCATGAGGGAGAAAGCATTTGAATATCTCAAAGTTACTAGAATCTCTTCCTTTTATTTCTTGCTATCTTCTTTATAAAATAAATTACTTGCAGGTAATAACGTATTTACAAGTTTGTAATACTCATACTACAGTGACTGGTCATGCCAAATCTAAATACATGGACAGCAGGGAGAAAAGTCCATCTAACAAGTTCTTAGCAGCATTTTATTAAAAAAAATGAAGCATTTTAATGCTGAACTCCTAAATGCAGCAGACATTTTGTTGTCTTCTGTAACTTTTCTTGTCTATTGGGAAGATATGAAAAATTATTACTATAAAGAGTAGGAATTCTATTAAGATGTATGAGGAGACATTGTAATGTACAGTGTTCATTGTTAAATTAAAAAAAGGCACTTGCTATCCTGCTGCCTAAAGATTATACAAAAAAACCAAACCAACCAACCCCCAAAACACGTCTGCAGAGAAAGGAAAAGTGGTAATACCAAAAGAGGTTAAATATTTCCACAGAATACATTCATATTTAAAAGGACAATAATAAAGTTATGACCTAATAACTTAAACAGATGCTTCTAGGGCATAACTGAAATTTTGAAAGTCAATGAACAACTGAGTTTGAAGTCCTTTTTTTTTTTTTTTTTATTACTATTTTAAAAAGAAAATTAAAAAACCCAAACCAACCAACCAAAGAAGCTCTCAAGTGTTCTGTTCATCCAGGCAACACCAGTGCCACAATATAGAGTACTCCTACCCTTGAGTAGATTAATGTAATTCAACAAACTTTTCCTGCTACCAGTCTTGATTTTATTTCTTAGCAATTGACTAGACAATAATGCAACCCCAAAGCAGAATAGTCATCAGGTAAAACTGTCTTTCAAACAGACAATCCCTCATTGTGTTTCTGCATTGCAGAGTGCTGTGGGTGCATATTCAGCCATAGGCTGAGTTCCACATTCAGAGTGTTTGAAAAGAGACAGAAAAATATAAGGAACTAATAAATGGATAGGCAAAAGTTATGCAGTCCATATTTCTGGTCAGCTCCAATGTTTGACTAGGAAGAAGGTAGTTGTTACATCAGAAGATAGACATGCAGAATTCATGTGCAGAAACATCAAATGCCTCCACCAAAACCAAAATGCATTAACCTCCCCACAGTTTAAGCAGAATTCATACAGTCATATATGCCCATGAACTCAAATTAGATCTCGTCTCTTTTGTCCTGTCATCAATCAGCCTTATATTTTCCTCGTGGTGTCTTCTATATTCACAGCTTCAGAATATTTTGAATTGTACCTACCTCCAGTACCATTTAGAGTTCATCCTAGTGGCAAGAAAATAAACAATTAAGTTATTCTGAAAGTACAAAATTTTTTTTTAAAAATTAAATTTCTCCAATTTTTCAACAGAAAATTGTTTTGTAAATGGAATTTAGGGTACTTCTTAACAGTTGTGTATTAATAGCTTCTTTCCAAGTTAAAATGTCAATCTCAATCTTGCACTAATCAGCCTCTGTAATTTGGTGTCTGCTTGCTAAAACTAGTCAAAGGATTACTCAAGGATACAGTGCATCTCAACCACCTATCTCTAATGCAGCTGTCCCAAGGATATCTATCAATTCTGCTAAGTCTTGCCATAATGGATGATGCAGCTGCAGGATTCCCTGCTGCACCGGCAGACACAGAGAACTGAGTGTGAATAAATAATACTAACTAAAACAAGACTGGGGGTAAAATGTACCTGTTACTAGAAGATATGGAATTTTTCATGGACAAAGAGCAAATACTACCACCACTTTAAAAGGCTGTTCTTACAATAACATGCGTTTTTTGCAAAAAGCCCCACAAAAGTATGCTTACCTTATTTCTAGATTTTTTCCTTTTTCCTTTATTTTGAATCGCTTCTAATTTTTCATTCAAAAGGTCAGCAATGCTTTTTGCATCTCTGCTGTCTATATATTCACCAAGAATATTTTTCTTAAGGGGAAAAAAAAAACCAAACATGTAAGTCTATCACTGTTCTACACCAAATAGAAAATTCAAGAGGAATCAAAGAGGAAGACAATAGCTCTAGTAGGCTGATTTATGATTCATAGCTATATTTTTGTCTCTATTTAAACATGCTAATTGTCTTTGTAGTAAGAGCCACTCTTGGCTGCAAGTTTTCAAAACTACAAAAGTTTTGTCTTGATCCTTAAGAAACTTGAAATAGTTACAATGTTCTCACATTTATTCAGCTAAATATTTAATATAGACAGCCACAGATATAATGTAGACAAAGTCTGCCACTTCATAATCTATGCTCATGAAAGCTGTCAGCATGGGTTGTTACTTTTGAGATCTGAAAACCCATTATTCTTTACCACAGAAAAGTCTCATTGAATTTGATGGCATTGTGAGAGAAAGGATTTCTAGAACTTCCCACAAGAGATTCAGTTAAGAAAAGGAAAGTATAATGAAAAGAACTGGCTTAACTATCAGAATGAATTGAATACTTTCTCTTCAGAACCAATACATTTAAAGTTGACTTTAATATCCTTGAAATTTACTAGTTCTACAAGAATAAAAGCAATTTCCTAGAACCATCTGGATACTTTTAGATTTTTATTTTATTAGTCCTAATCTGTTAGTATGAAATATTCAACAGTCACATTTATAATAGAAAGTTTGATAATGTATGGTTTTGAGACAGAACACAACTAAATATTTTTAATGAACTTTCTACCTTAAACCACCCTATTTAAGTCAAAATTATAAATAAATGCCATGGTTGCAATGAAATAATATTTCTCCTTAGCAAAAATGAAGTTGTCCACATTTCGTTTAGAGAGAGACTTTGCCTGCTTTTGGTAGTGGGTGGTGGAATTGGTAAAAATTGAAAAACATTTTGTCGTGTGAGACCTCTGCAAAATTAAACCCTGGTTCTGCCTAAGCCCACATTTTCATTACTCTTCTATTAATTTAAAATTTGTTATCTTTCAGTAACACGTTATTACTGTATCATCGTCCTACTACTTTGAATACTAGTGAAATTTATATCTCCTGAATGGCTAAATAATGCACTTTAGGAGATTATTTCAGTAATGCATTAAGTTTGAATGTGAGATGAAATAATCTCCCAGCAGTACCCGCTCACCAGCGTACGCAAAGAAGATACTTCACCTTTGTTCCTTGATAGGGGTAAAACTTCACAGTGGGGTAGGCTCTGATGTCAGCAGTTTGACAGGTCTGAGCATACGCCTGACAGTCGACTTTTCCAGCTTTTACTTTTCCTTTAATGGTCTAAAAAAGAGAGATTTATTAGAAACAAAATCCAAGGTTCCATGGGTAATTGTAAGCAAATAACTTGAACAAGCCAGCAGCCCAGCTGAAAGTAACCACAAAACATTGCTCAAATATTTTGAATATCTGAGAGTTGCTTGCTTGCTTCTCAGACTGCTAGCTTTGTATCAGAAGTCAGTCACTGCATGTTCAGCAGAGCATGCTTGGATTCTACTTGAATTCAGGGCAAAGCACACCAGGGTTCTAAAGGTCACGTGATCATATGGCAATATCTGTCTCCAAAGAGGGTCTGTGCCTGTGTGTCTGTGCAAGAGACAATACCCACCAGAAAGCAGGACCTAAAAGTGTGGACTTTGAATGAGAAAGAGGCTCGTTAGGGGTATGCAGTTTTTGGATGGTTGCTAAGAAATAAATTGCTGATGAATCATATTTTAACTATTATAACAATCTGCTAATACAGTTAAAAATCCACCTTTGCAAGGATCTCAAATTCAGGAGCAAAATTTTGGCAAGGTCCACACCAAGGAGCATAAAAATCAATGACCCAGTGATCTTTTCCATTCAGAACTTTTTCTGTGAAACTCTGAGGAGTCAGGTCTACAGACACTCGTGGTAAATATCTGTGGAAAGGAAGAGTAACAGTCATAACTATAGAAATTAAAATTTCTAAATTTCTGAAATGAGGAATAGCAGCAGTCTGGAAATTCCTACTTTACACTTTGTACTGTAGGAATCCTTTTTTTTAAAGTTGTAGACAAAGTAACAACATGGTCTTTAGAAAAATGAGTGTACAGTAAGGAGTATGCTATTTTCTCCACATTTTAAAAGCTTGAGTTAAAAGATATGGAAACTTTAACAATTTAAGCAATACATATAGCTGAGTGTTTGTGAATTCTTGATTTATGTAGCATTTAAATATTAATTTATCCTAGCAAGCAAACTCTGTAAGTGGCTTGTGAGCAAAGTCTAATGCAGTAGCTTACCCCAGTGCCCAGCCTCTCAGTGAATAGGAATCTCTGTGCCATCCATTGTAGCTACTGTAATCAGATTAAAAAGAAATAAAAAATCCAGTTGCACAGGAGTTTGAATTACATTTGAAAAAACACTCTGTAGAAGGGAGATGATGAAATAATGAACTTAAATGCATATGTTTTAGGCTATATTTCTACCTTGCTTTCAAATCTGAATAAAACTCTCATTAGTACAATGAAAGATACAGAATTAAGGACTAGAAATGAAGAATTGCAGCATTGTAGGGGTTGGAAGGGACCTCTGGAGATCATCTAGCTCAACCCCCTTGCCAAAGCAGGCTCACGTAGGGCAGATTACATGGAACCACATCCAGGCAGGTTTTGAAAGTCTCCAGAGAAGGAGACTCCACAACCTCTCTGGACAGCCTGTTCCAGTGCTCTGTGACCCTCACAGGAAAGAAGTTTTTCCTCACGTTCAAATGAAATTTCCTGTGTTCTAGTTTGTGCCCATTGCCCCTTGTTCTGTTGCTGGCCACCACTGAAAAGTCTGGCCCCATCTTCTTCCATTCACAAGAAGAAGAAGAAACACCTGAGACAAGGAAATTCTTTGTCAAGAGAGTAAGAAACTTGGTATGGAACACATAACTTTGATAGGTAGAACTATTTTGAATGAAGGATCTTTGGTAATAACTCCAGACAAAATTGCAGGCTCTAAGAAACATGAGAATTAAATTGAAATATCTTAATGTATTTTCTAATTAATGTCCATTTGTTACAATAAACCAATTATTAATTATATACATTTCCCTCAATTTGACAGTTGAAAAGCCAAGCAAACCGGTTACTTGGACAAAGGTTTATTCCTTGGGCTTTCAGGGCATTGCTTAGTTTTGAAATCCCAGTGACAGATCAGAAAAAAGATTAATTCAGGATTCATATCCACTAATTTACAACTTTCTAACAAAGGTTTTTTCAATAGAGTTACCTGGTCAAAATCTGACTTGATAGTTTTTGGTGATCTTTACTTTAAGAGATAGATTTCCACATTTTTGCAGGAAATACTTAACTCCTGCTTAGGAATCTAACACTTAACAGTTATATTGATCAAATTAGTTGTTTTCCACAAGAAAAAAAAAAAATCTGCTTTGAAGAGAAACTGTATTTAGAAGACCTGAATAAAAGCAAGCAGTCTAATGATGAAAGCTATTGCAGTCTGCGATTAGGCAATATGATGAAGAGGCACTACAATTTAATATCTGCCAGCATTTAACAGAACTCTCTAATTTGTAAATTAATGAAGCAACACATCTGCTATTTCAGGTCATTGTCTGATCTTTAAATACGCATGTGCTTCCTGAAATCCCCGGACCCTTGAACAGTACTGTGAAATGGAGGGGACAGGCTGTTTGGTTTTGATCAGATTTTATTCCCCATAGAATATTTTTTGTTGTCATTAATGATTACTGTTTCCACACTAATGATACAATGAATGGGGAGACTAGATATACAACAGACAACTTTTGCAATGGTGCTAACTGTTGGCAAGGAGGATGATCAGATGGCTACATGTCTTTGTTCTCTAAGGATAAAGCTGCCATAAATTAGCCCTAGTAGTATTTTTATATGATTTAAATCTTCTACTTTAACAGGCAATTAAAGTTAGAAAACTGGCAATTGAAGAAAAAGAAACAAAAATTAAGACTCCTGAGGCAGTCTCAGTTCAAATTACTGAAATGGCAAAATAAAAATACAGTGGTTTGAAGTAACAAAGTCAGTAACATCCAGGACAGTAATATCATAACAGCCTATTTTAATAGCCATGATGAACCTTTTCTACAAAACAGAAGATGTCTTGTTCCACATGATCTAACCTTTCCCAAACAGAAGTAAACTACTTACTAATATTGATGAGCTGTGTTTGACTTTTGAGGAAAGAGTCTTATTTCAGGATATCCCCGAACACTTTCTTGATGACAGAAAGAATAATATTTTTGACAATCCACACTGCCTACACTGATTAATCCATTTAACATCTGAAAAAAAACTTACAATTAATCATGCTAAATAATACTACTACAGTTTCAATAATACTTCACAATTTAAGTCTTACACACTTAGTTGTGAAAAAAAACCCAAACAAAACAAAGCAAGATTATCACAAGACTTTCTTCTTTCCTGTAAATGGGACCCAGCCACCCACCTTACACATATATTTTAGTATAAGCTGCATGCACGTGGCTCATGAGGCACTTACCTTGCCTCAAAGGTACACATGAATGTGACTTAGCAAGGACTACCATGTTTCACATCACAGGCTCAGTAATTATGACAGATCTTGGTACAGTGCAGGTGTGCTATCAGTTGTACAGCTGGCCTGTGTCCTGAACACACTTTATTTGTTGCAAACAACCTGGCATAGGCAGGGAAGCTGATGATTGCTAAACACGTACTGTAGAGCTACTAATGCTTCATAAACATTTGACCAGACTGTAGAGTACTGACTAGAAATTGTACTCTTAAGTGTCTGAAATGAACGTCTAAAAGTCCTGGACTTGTTTCCAAAGCTCTATTCTGCCCCACCCTCCCCAAGTTTCTAGTTCAAATTCCTGGAAACATGTCCAGGAAAACCCAGCTGGCTGTCAGTAAAGGAATATTACTTTTGCAAATGAGAGAATACTAATGGCTTTGCAAAACAGAAGCACAGTTCTATATTCAAGTATGTGTAATTCAGCTACATCATGATCAGCCTTAAAGTGTATGGTATTTATCATCTATTCACTTCCACTGAAGAAAACAAGATCTCAGAAAAAAAAAATAAATCTTTCTTATATAGGAGGTAATTAAGATGAATAAGAATGAATTCCTTTAGTTTGAAATTCAAGTCAGAGGTTTCTTCAAGGTCTAAGTGTTCTCTAAAAGATGACTAATGGCCATAGAGAAAACTGAGAATAAAGTAGCAAACTATTTCAACCAATTATCTAATTTATGGATAACCCCCTTTTTTCATATTTTCTGCTAAATAAATGCAGAGCTGTTGTCTTTATAAAGTGCTAAGCATCAAGCAAAGTTAGTTTCTCTACAGTTTCTTAGATCTTGGAAAACACTTGCATCAACAGGAAAAACTGGATTACAGTATCAGGGTAATGAACCTTTAAAAAAAAGAAAACACAGAAAAAAACTTTGCATTTGAAACCACATAGAACTGTCAGGCAGGAATTCCTTCATTTGTCCACAATATTAATCACTAGACTTTCTCAGCTGACAAATCTCTAAGACTTGTACTGTCTCAGTAATCCCATGGATAAGGACAAAAAAGCAGAAAAATATTTGAATGTCATTTACCCTGGCCATTTTTTTCCATTCTGGCATTAAAGCCTGGCAAGGTCCACACCATGGAGCATAGAAATCAACCATCCAGATCTCGTCTCGTTTTCTTCTTTGAACTAATTCAACAAATGTCTCTGGTGTTAGGGAGACCACCGATGGATTCCTAAGATCCTAAAGTAAAGACAGGTTAAAGACATATTATTCTGCAACAGTAAGTTATCCTGTACCTATCACTATCACACACAGACTGTACCAAATTCTGACAATGTCCCTCTTTTAGTGAGATTTGCTTGCTGCTGATGTTGGGAAGACTCCACACCACTGAAAGGCACAGAAGCATCAAAAGTCGTCCCTTCAACCTAACAATTATATGCCTGATTTGCTGAGAAAAGATATTTAAAAAAAAATATAGTCAGGCTGCAAAAGGGAGGTTTTCTGCCTCTTCTCCATAAAGGGAGGCAAGAAATTCAGGTTACCTGGCAAGAACAGTCACTGAGAATCAGCCATACTATTTAGGCTGGGAAGCTCTAGGGACCTCTGGATATCAACTGAAAGAGACTGATCTCCACCTGTTCCTGCATGTGTGCTCTTAAACCTGTTTTCTGGGCTACCTTGAGAGAATTAAAAGTCTCTTCAAAGAGTGGAAAACAGCTTGTTGGTCTAGCAGTGAGAAAATCTGAATGCTGGAGGAAAAATGGTTGCCAGAACTCTGGCAGCAATAATGGTGAGTAGCAATGACTTGCAGTTTTGTGAATTAAGGAAGTTCAAGAAACAGCTGAGAAGCATGGAAGACAGCAAGCTATTTGCCAAAAATGTGAACCTCTTCCTATGTCAAGGCATGTATGTGAGGCATTTTTACCTTAATATTACAACACTTGATACTCTTAATTCCTTTATCTTCTCTACAAGATAAAAATCATTACTTTTACTTTACAGATTGGAAGGGATCTTAAGTTATTTTCTAAAGATCTCAAAGAAGAGTAGGGAAGTTAATCCATGAGGTGTCAAGTCCCAGACTTTCCTTGTCCAAGGCTTTTTCACTATTTACCTTACTAGTGTAATTCATTAAAAAAAAAAAATCAAACCAAACCAAAACCAAACCAAGAAATCTTGGAATGCTCCAAATAAAGAACATGTTTGTGGAGAAGTTGTGTACAGAGCATGACTGTAACAAGGATTATACTTTACGTACCTCTATAAACTCCAAGATCTGCTCAGCAGAGTGATGGCCTTCATATTCATGAACATCAGACTGATTGAACACAACTGTTGTTGGATAAGCTCGAATGTTATGCTAACAGAACACACAGAAAGAAATTGCAAGGAATGATTAGTTTTCTTGTACTTTAACCAATATCATTGGTATTGGTGGCTCACAGCTGCTTACGTATCCAGTTTGTACAGTAAAACTGCTCAGACTTACATGCAGATAGGAGTTTGAAACCACTGCAAATCTGTACAGAAAATATGCCAATTATATCCCAAGATGGCATAGTTTGTTCTGAATTTAAAAACCAGCCCGTAGTTTTGGCATGCTCCACAAACACAGGAATTAACCCATAGGCTTCTAAGCCTTAACTTTAAAGCTATTGCCAATCTTCAGGTGGAAATGCTTGTACTACATGAATAACTGTATTGTTTACTATCGAATAGAGATGCTTCCCTGACTTGAGTTCCTCAGTTTAGATGTGTAAACACATCTAAATAACACTTGAAAAAGCCTGTCCTTTTTTGCTTACTTTTTCTGTGTTCTAAGATACTCACATTTTAAAGATAAATACTAACATTCTAACATAAAAAGCCCTTGTGAACAATAAGATGTGCATTTGCAGTAAAGTTGTCAAAATGTCAAATTTTCTGGAATTCATGAAAAGTCATGTCATTAATTTCTACCATGATAAATTCATTGAAGCAAAGGTTAAGCAAATTTAAAAAAGGAAAATTGGTCAGGATTTAAAAGAAAAATATTTTCACATGTAAGTGACCCTGCACTTCTTAAGTGCTACAAAACAAAAAGCCAGCTCAGTTAGGGTGAACTGAACTACAAGTGGTTTTGTTATATCAATATAAAATTTGTACTTTAAATGTTTTGTTGCTTTGTGTCCTCCCATGTGAAGACCAAAAAGCATGTATGTACTTATATACACAGTAGAATATATACAGAAAAAAACCCTGTGTCTGATTAATTTTTTTTTCTCTTATAAAAACCCCAGGAATTACTAAATTCTGACACTTCCAGAGTCTTCCAATAACACTATGAAACAGAGCAAAATGTGACCTGTATTTTGCATTAATATATTATCTGTAGGGGTTACATAGCTTCTTTCTTTGAAAAAAAGAAATAAGTTATCATACAAGTGTAGTGTTTAGTTTGCTACCCTTTAAGAAGTACCATTAAAGAACAAGCATTGTCTGCCACCATGCTCCTACCCCCAGTTAGAAAAAAGTAATATTCTTTAAAAGGATTTTTTTTTTTTTTCCATTCCTGTAGCTTACCATGTTGCAAAGCCCTTCATGGACAGTGCAGTCTAGTGTTCCAAATTTAAGTTGACCATAAAGATGTTTTGATGCCTTTCTCAGCTCTGGTAACAAGGCTCGACAAGGAGGACACCACTAGAAAACAAAATGGCAGTTAAATGCAATTGGGTTTCCCACAGCTGGCCCTCAGAAGAACGTGAGCTGTTGGAATGAGTAATATGCTGCTCTGACAACAGACACAGTCTAGGAACTAGTGCTGCCAAGGAACAAGAAATTACCACCTCATGATGCTGAAGGACACTTTCAAGATGCTGCTAGTATTTTGCTACATAGTTACAGAACAGATTTTTAGAAGAAGGGAGATGTAGATGGTAAATATTTACCGGTGCAAAGAAATCCACGAGCCACGGTTCCTTTTCTTTGTCAGGAAAATTCTGAGGTCCCAGCGTGATGACATGAGAGTTGACGCTTTCTTTGGCAAATGCAACGATGTCATATAAGATCTTCTTTCCTTCAAATAACAATGTAGAAAGGAAATTTTATTTTTCCCTATGAGAGATCTCATTAAAACCCTCTGACAGCAACATGAGGCCTCGTGTTCCCCTGACGTGATCTTCACACATAGCTTGCTTAAATAAATTAAACAGGTACTGGCTTGCTTTTCTTTCAGGAAGACAATGATAAAACTGTCCAAACCTACATAGCTAAGACATACTCTAGGTGATAGCTGATATTTGGCAAAACATTAAACTGGATATTTACCCAATATTAGCCAAATAATGTTTTATCCATGACAAAACACGTTTTTGTCAAACAAAATGACTTGTTTGTTTTGTGACTTGACTATTCCCTGTTTTACCATCCTACTGGTTGGAGTTGGACAATTACTATTCTAGATAAACTTGCCTTGATAAGGTATTGACACAGTAAAGACTTCATGCAACATAGAAGATACTGATAAATCACAGCTACTTAGGTGTAACTGAAGCTCCTACTGACACAGCTCCAGTGGGCAAAGATGAAGTCTCCATTACCTTTCATGTACATATTTGTCAGAAGAAATTAAATTTTGTGTCTTGAAATGAACTGAGAATAAGAACTTTAGGGTAATTTAATCTGAAGTCACTGCAAAATGACTTATTAGAATGTATTACTGTTCTTAGATTTTAAACTGTTTAAGCTTTTCAACACATCATATAAAAAAGCCCTATTCTTTTGAGTATTATATTGTTAGAAATACTGGAGTGGGATGACTATCGACAGATGTTCTAGATGCCATCTATTTTGTAATAGTAAAATGAATCATGCAGAAAAGAATGTATGTACTGCAGTCCAAAGTACTATTTGTAATGTATGCCATAATAAAAAGATGTAAAAATGCTGTATGTATATGGCCCTTTCAGCTTCTCTGCAGGAGTGGAAATTGGAAAGGCTTTTCCCAGCAGCAATCATTAGTTGTAGGGGATTGTATTTCCCCCTGGGATAGGACTAATTTTTTTCTAAGTAGTCAAAAACTGTTCTCCTGTCTTCCTCATTACAGTATGAGGTTCTGACTTAATTTCTGAAAGCTGTTTTTAATACTTCAGATGCTGAAAAGTGAGAATTTCATCTTGCATAATTGCCTTGTGCCACATTCTGGATGAAGCTACACCTATTGCAGCAAGCTACAGTTTTGCTTCAGGCTCCATTCTTCTTCAGGTAGCACGATTTGAACCTTTCAGCAGTGCACAGTAACACAGTTCCAGCCTTTCCGGGAAGGAAACTGTTACTTTGGAAATGAAAGTGGTAAAAGTCTCAAAACAGATTTTCTTGGATGGATGTTAACAAAACATGGAATTAATTTCAGTGCAGTGACATGAAATCAAACCCAGGTTTCTCAAGTTAGTTATACAGTTCTCAAGCACTGTATAACTAGCATCTTAGACCTCTATGAAGGGTGCACCTTAGAGCATTCTTTGATTTTCTGACCCAAAGCAGCAGCTTTCCTGATCAGCTTTGGAGATTTCATTTGTATGTAATTACATAAATGACGTTGAAACAGACAGGAGAGTAAAGACAAAATACATCTCTTGGCATTTGATGAGTGCTTACCCAGGAGAAAAAAAGAAAAAAGAAACAAAAGGTAATCATAAGTTTGTGCAAGTCTACAGTAAGGTCAGGGGAAAAATAGCAAATATTAAAACTACAGACCTGTTCTTTGGGAAAACAAATGCAGTTTGCCAAAGATAGTGTAATCTTAAAGTGACTATGTAATGATTTAAACTTGCCAAAGTTTCCCTTACCATGATGAATTTCATAATCTCCAGTTCCTTTTCCTTTGAAGACTGCTAAACACGGCTGGTAGACGTAGAGTTTGTTGCAGATCGTTGGTGAGGAAAGACAGTCAAACTTGCCAACCTATTTAGCAGACAGTGTCATTTTAATTAAGGCATCCTAATTTATATACATTAACATATTTTGAATGGCAGTAAGTGAGGGAAAAAAGGTGAATATATGGAAAAGGAGTAGCCTTTTTATGAACAGAGGTGTTAAGATAAACTACGTTTAAGGAAAACTACTAGCCCAGGTATATTAGGCTGCTTGCTAATTTTCTAATATAAGGCAAAAACAGGGAACAAACCCCTAAAAGAATCCCTTTTTTTTCCCCCCCTTAAAAATTAAAAAAAAAAAAAAAAAACACAAAAAAGGAAGCAAAAAGACACCTAAAATGAATACACCAAAATTCTTCTAGTCAGTGCAACAGTTTTTAAAAACTACACCTTACAGAATAACACAGTCCATATGGTTTTAGTACAGAGTTTGAATTTGGTTTCTTTTTATTAAAAAAATTTGAAGATAATTATAGGGTTTTCTGAATAATTAAAATACAGTTTTGAATACATCAATTTTATATTGAAGTGTTAACTTTTAATGGTTAACTGGATGGGATCTGCAGCAATGTTTTCCATGAGAGAGCAGATTTAAAAGCTAATCTTTCCTAATGACTTCTAAATCATTCAAATCGTATGGGAAACTTGCTTGCTTTGAATTAGAAACTTTACTACAGATCTGCCAGATGACAGTATATCTCTTTCAGTACCAGAGCTGGCAGTGATAGTAAGAGCTAATAATAATGAAAAATATACTGTCTTGTTCGCTGACTGTAAATAGTGTTTAACACAGATGAGTGAGCAGTCTTACCTGAATATGTTCATCTTTAAGTAAAAATTTAAGTTTCTTAAATTCCTGTACATTTGATTTATCACTCTCCCCAAACTGGAAGAAAAGCAGCCATCGGTGGTGAGCCAGGTGGTCCTTTAAATGAAGGGAAAAAGAAAAACCAAAACACAACCAGAAACAAAACCACAGGAGACAAAAAAAAAAAAATATTCTCAGTTTACACCAACTTGTAAATTTCTTTTATGTTTTATAAAGGCAAATGCCCAGTTATTCATCTGATCTCTGAGTGACCTCCTCCACTCAAATTCTTTCATGCAGTCCTTCCTCTAAGCTTCCTTTTACTGCATCGTACACGGGAAAAAGGAAGAGAATCTGAAAACAAGCTGGCTACGTCCTACACTCTATATTTTTTGTTTCCACGTGCATTTCCTCTCGTAGATCAAGATGCTAAGTGCTCACTGCACACTTTCCTCTTCTTTTTCCTCCAAGACACAAGACACATTTATGACTTCTCATTTCCGTTCATACATAATTTATCAGGATTAACAAGCTGGGTTTTTTTTCCTTACATTACTGGCAAAATACATTTAAAACAAAATTCTTTACAATGCAGTTAATTTAAAAAAAATAACAAAAGATACAGCTGCAGAGTGAATTGCAATGGCAAGTCCTGCAGTTTTCTATTTTCCCATTAAAGACAGCCTCCCCCCCTTACTTTTGTTTTTTGGCTAACCAACCAAATTCTCTGTATTTTGGCTACAGAGAAAAAAAATTAAAAAAAGACATTTTCAGTTAAATAAATACTAGTTTGTTGTGTCAACAGGACTTGAAAGAATTAAACAGCCAGAATAAAAAAATATACAAATACATTATTTAAAGAAATGTTAACATATTTTTAAAAATTTACCTCTAATGATGCTGCAGAGATAATTTCAAAGTCTGGCAGATGCTGCATTACTTCCTGATATATTTCTCTGGCATCCAGCGAGTTAAGAAACTACGAAGGAAAGCTACCTGTGTTTATTACAAGGAACTACAAAGAACAACCTGACTGTTGATAATTAGTAATCAAAGTTTTAGGGAAATTATGTTGATTTGTTCCTTTCCATCAACTGAAGAGTACAGTTAATAACATGTTATTTGACCAACTTCTTTTTCACACAGAGAATTCACTTACATCACTCTCAGAATACTGCCTTTTAACTTGGTTTTTTTTTTTTTTACAATATTAAGCTCAAGATATCATAGTTTGTCTTAAAGAGGGATAAAAGTTTCAAATACAAATTTTGAGCCAAATTTTACAATCAAGTTCACAAGATTTTCCATCTAGTATTACAGCCTTCCTTAACTGCACTGTACTGATGTTTAAATTTCAGCAATTCTTAAAGCTTAGGAAGCAATATGAGCCAGTAACTCAGAGTTGGTAAGTCACAGATTTAATTGGCAGGTTACAAATTTAATTTCCTCCTTTTAAAGATACAGATAACGGCAGTGACAATAAATGAACAAGCTCTGCTTCAAACTGAGAAACGTCTCCATCAGTTAAGGACGTTACAACTACCATACAGATGTAGGAGGCGGCTGCAATACTACAATAGAGCCTAATCTGTACTGACAGGTATCAAGAGTACTTTTGTCTCATATGTCAGCACTCCAGTCAGAGTAGCATTTCTCAGGCTTGTGATACCTGGGGCATATTCTTTCTGGAATGAAAACTGGGGGCACAGGGCAAATCATAAAACAACTTAGGTTGAAAAGATCATCAAGTCCAACTGTAAGCCTAAGAATTCCAAGACCACTCATGTTCCTCAGCACCACACCTCCATGTCTTTTAAATACCTCCAGGGATGTTAACTCCACCACTTCCCTGGGCAGCCTGTTCCAATGCTTGACAACCTTTTTGGTGAAGAAATTTATCCTTATGTCCAGTCTAAGCCTCCCCTGGCACAACTTGAGGCCATTCCCTCTTGTCCTGTCGCTTGTTACTTGGAGGAATAGACTCCCAGGCTTGTCTGGGATGGCTGGGTAGCAGCTTTAGAACCAGCCTGTCACAAATCACATCCCACCCCTAGATTCCTACAGCTTCTCAGGAAGGTTCCTGAGGTGGTGGCTACTGTGAGCTACAGGTTGCTGTCATTGCAGCATGCTCCTGTTCACTGTCCCAGCATATCAGCAAACTGGGGACCACCTCCAGGGATCACTGCCTTAGAAGGCAGGAAATATATAAACTCATACTAGGGCATACAAGATTAGAAGAAAGAAGAAAAAAAGCATCTTTTCAGTTTTATAATCAATCTCACAATTATTATACATTCCTTTGTCATTGTCATCAGCTTATTTTATCTCAATACAGAATGGTTGAGAAAGAACTCATACCAGAACACCTCCTTTCTCTTTGCTATTTATGGTGGCTCCAGGTGGAAAGTATGCTGTAGTACTTGATGAGATATCTAAATTGTCACAAAGCTCACCCTGGGTGCCACAGTCCATCCAGCCTACATTAACAAGACCTTCCTGTAATTAAAAAAAACAAACAAACAAACAAAAAAAAAACCAAAAAAACCCAAACAAACACAAAACAAAACCCAAAAAAGAGTATTGTTTAATCTCAGATTCAGAAATGCTTTCAAAAATGCCAAAGCAATTATATATCACATTTAGAAAATGGGATGAAACAACATTGTAATTCATTAGTTATTACTCATTCATATTTTATAAAATGACTTTTAAATTTAATGTTATTCCATTAGCTATTAAATCAAAATATTTTTAACTCTTTTGAAAGTTAATGGGTGAAATCTTGGTTCCTCTAAACTCAGTAAGAGTTTTAGCTACAATTGGATACTTTCACTTCTGCTATTTTGTTTTAAATATAACAGGTAATGCATTCAAAGTGAAATGCTGCTTACCAACATGCCAGCTAGCTTAAGGCGTGTTTGGTAACTCAAGCAATCTGCAAAATAAAAATCATTTATTTACAAACATAAAACTATAAAACTTTAAATTATTAAAGCACAAAACCTCCTCTGTAGAATTACCCCTTTCCTCCACAGCGAGGTGACCATTTCAAAAGGCATATTTCCTGGCTACCCATCTGCTGTTTCAGTGACTTGAAGCTGTAAAATCTAGTAATCAGCAATTTATGATTGTCTACCCTAAGTTAAAAATAACATGAATAACATTCTCTGCTTCATTAACACAGGATTCTCATCTAAAAAATGTTAATACTTTATTTGCTATACTAAGACTGACCTTTAAAATTTCTTCTTAATCCATGTTTGAAAAACCCCAACCCCACAAGTATCTACATACTGTCTTGGAATTACATTTCAATGGAAATATAAATGTTCTGTGATTCAAATAACTGACTATAATAGATATATCACATGCTCTGTTTACCCATCTAGGTTTTAAATACCTTCTGATATAGATTTTTTTCTTTCTTTTTTTTTTTTTTTTTTAAATGAGAAGGTGCATCCATCTCCCTTTAATTGGACCAAAGTTGGAAACTTAACAACCAAAGGACTGCAGCTTGAAAATAAGCTGTCTACAAATGTAAATCCAAGATTGCAGCTCTGATTATTCAGTTCACAGAACAAAGGTCTCTTCATAAGACCAAGAAATCTTTATTTGTCAAAGGTGTAGTGCATTTACTTTGCTGTACCAGCTAACCAAGGCAACTTTCTGATATACCATATCCAATACTGATCCCAGGAAAGTCAGTGACCAAAAAAAAGCAAACCTGTCATTGAAACCAGTAATAAAAGCCAATTTTTATGTTCAAACCTAATGTAAGAGAAAACATTCAGCTAATTTTTGAGTATGGATGGTTTAAAGGGGAGATACATCCCTTGCTCTAGTTGGCTATCAGGACAAGCCAGCACACACTGACGCAGTATCTGTCGCTGGAGCTTGAGCTGGAAACAGAAGCTGGAGGCCTTTTCTGCCAGCTCCCTTCCTGAGGGGTTACACTCCAGTGCTGCTCTAATGACTCACCTGGCATTACAGAAGCACAGTAACATAATCTTTCTGTTAATGTCCCTTTGGTCAAACTGCCTCTAAAATGAGCCTAAATGACCCACAGGCCAAATACTATGACCATCTAAGGCATTTTACAACACTTCATTAGAAACAAAAGGGATTATGAAACTATCAACAAAAGTACCTTCCTGTTTGCCTCATTAAAGAAGTGTTCAATGCACCTACCCCCACGTTCAGCACAGAAGGTGATCAGCCAACCAACGCCAGAAGCAAATGAGGTTTCAATGGCATTAACAAAGTTTCCTAAGAGTGAAACAATTTGCATTGGTTTGTGACCAGTTAAAGGTAACTATGAAACAAGAAGGTTTTATATTAGCAAGTTACAGTAAACTATTTTTAACCTCAAAAATAACACTTAGCAACAGCTGACAAATTCAGCTGTATACATAGTTTCTGACATATTTTATATCATAAAAGAAATTTCCAGAACGGCACCCCAAGCAAATTATGTGAGTGTTACCTGCCCATAACTCGGTGACTGTGCTTGTAACATACTGCATGGCAAAGTTCTTTAAGCTCTCTTTTGATCTGTCTCCATAATATTTCACCGGTTGCTACAGAAGACAAAAATTAAGTTTATTAAAAAAAAAAAAAAAAAAAAAGAAAAGAAAACACCCCAAAACCTACTGTGTTTTTTGATAACAGTACTTCAGCAACTGCAGCACATCCCCCTCAAAACTTAGCTTGAACTGTTCTCTCCCTCTCATATTGGAATGTTTGGAATTTAACTTTTACTTATATTTTGTAACATCATTACTCCCAAGTCCAGGAATCAAAAGGATAACTTAGTCTTATAAACACCAACTAAAGGAGAAAAAGAAATTTATTAAAAGAAAGTAAATATATTAAAAGGAAGATCTTTATATAAACATCTATGATTGAACAAGTTGATTAAAGAAATACTCTTCCAGATTTCATTCTTTCTAGAAATGCTTGAATTTTTATCACTCACCATTCCAGTTTTGAAAACATAGAGACTGGGATAACTGTTAATTCCTTTAATTCGACAAAGCATTCTGTTGTCTCCACAGTTGACAGCCCCAATGCGTATTACTCCATCCATCTCCTTAGCAAACTCCCTCCACTAGAAAAAAGGGAAAAAAAGAAATATATTTTCTTATACAGTTATAATAATAAAACTAGCATGTTTTTATTCCTGGCATCTTGTATTGCTGTCTTTGGTTTCAGCCTTGGCGTAAAAATCCCTTCATTAAGTTTATGCTGTTAAAAACAATGAATACTCAGAGTTAATTTACTTGTTACACATACCGTAGGTGCTAACTCATGGCAGTGGGAGCATCGAGGAGAATAAAAATTCACAAACCACAGTTCTCCTGAGTTAACAGCAGCATCTAGACGGAGTGAAGAAAATTGTAAGCAACACACATCTACAATGGACTTAATCTAGAATGTATGTTTTACTATACTGTTTTCTCCAAAAGCTGAATTAAGTATTCATACCTCAGACACAGTAAGAGTAACTCAGATATAGTAAAGACTGCACCTCACTTGCACAAGCTTGCTGTTCTAGGCCAGTGTACAAAAATATTTCAGAGGATATCAGCATGCTCACTTTCAACATCTGTTCTATTAATTAAGAACAAACATACTGTCTACAGAGTAATGTAGCTGAAATACATGGTAGTGCAAGTCTGGCTACCTTAAAAACAAAATACAAGTTCTAAAAGTTTTTTACCCACTAGTACTTTCCATTTCCTTATATCACTTTTTGTATTTTCTGGGTTCCACCAGACAGCCTTTTTACATAGAACTCCTGTCTCATAGGCAAAAATGCAATTTAAAAATCCAAGTTAACATAATTAAAGGAAACATAATTAAATACTCTTGCTCATAAAAAACCACAATATCAACAAAATGTACACACACAGAGGTTCTCACCTCAAACTACATGGCTTTCAATCTCTGACTTTTTGGACATAGTTTTTATAAGGACCTTTCTAAGTTATACTTGCTTATATAAAATATCCTCAAAAATAAGACAACTAAGGAATGTGTAGTTTTGCTTCAGTTAATTGATTTGCAGATCCCAAGTCCTCTTGGAGAGCATCGTGAGGTTCTATGATTAGAACCGTTTGCAAAACTGGTTCAGCATACAGATCCAGTCCATGCAAAGGAAACTACTCAAAATGCAGATGAGAAAATAATACAAAATCCTATGTTTTGTTCTCTCTAGTCTCTTTCAGTTAAACATAGCTATAGTTGTAAAAGTAAAACTACTAGGTGGCATCCTCACTGAAAGCATTATTCTCTTGGAGTTTGTTTTACTTAGCTGTGTTTTCAGTATCTGATATCATCTTCTGGACTTAAACCTCTTGTGCAATGCACAGTTGACTGGATTTCACAGAAAAAAAAATTAATAGTAATATAATAGACAATTCTATGAAGTGCATTTATTAGACAAGAGACCAAAAGAAACAGTGATGATAAATTAGGAAAACCAAAATTTCAATTCAAATGATTTCCTCTTACAGAGCTCATAAAATATCTTTCAAATTTAATCTGAACTGTCTATTTATACTGACCTATTTGCTAACTAGCATTTACCAAGAATTGTTAAGGGTATGGTTTTTTTGTTTTGTTTTGTTTTTTTTTCTCTTCTGAAGAACAATTTCTGACACTTTTTTGTCTAGGTTTCTAACAGATACACAACTGAGAATGTAAAAATAGTTACTTTGGGTTGCCATGTTGTTAAACAGCCATTTATTTTAAACTTACCAAATTCTCCTCTATCCAATGTTATAATTTCAGGATCATCATCATAAATACCTGTTAAAAAGAACAACGATTGCTTTTTAGTTTTGCCATCTTTAAAATTAAGAAACAAACTATCATCTTATTCATAAGACAGAACACAAGACGACAGTACACTTAAGTCAAAATAGTTTTTACCACAAAGCTATATTTTTTTAGTAATATGTAACCCTAGTTTAATCTCATGCTAACTCCTGTGCTACAAAAGCCACCATCACAACAGAACAGTTCTTTTTGTGTTTTAGTAGACTAGCCACTGAGTGAGCAGCAAATCTGAACTACCACTATTATGGCATGAGTATTAGAAAAGTAACCACTTGCCAGCCTAAAATTCAAGAAGCTTCAGCTCTCAGTGAGAGAACTATATGTGATGCCTGGAAGCTTTCACTTCTCAGCCTCTGGTTATCTAAACTATTTAGGTCACAAAGGTGCTTCAGCCACAAGCTTTTCCACTAACAGAATGTGTGAACACAGTGGAATAAAGTGGAGAGAATAAAGGCAAGGAAGACAGCTTTTCTAAAAAACTAACCAGTCTCACCTAGAATGTCACTACAAAACAGTCTACTACTTCAATTATGCAAGAAAGACAGTGCAGACACACCAAAAATACTATTAGACAGCATTATATTATGCTACTAAGGCTACAGATCTTTTACAGTACCTAACATGGTGAGATGCCATTTCACCTGAGGTATACAAGGATTAAATGCAAATAAATAATGAGAGAAATTAGTGTCTACATATGACAAGGTATTTTGAATATTACTATCCATGTATATAACATGTAATACAATACAAACACTCACCCATACATATATAAAGTATCTATAATTTTATACATACATATATATATATATATATACACACACACACATATTAAATACAAAAACATAGATACTCTCCAAATGACTGGTTAGTAGACCTTCAAGGATACTCTTGATCAATCAATCAATGCAACTTCAGTGAGATTAAATTTCTTAAACCTGTTTATCTGAATACATGTAAGGATAATTTCCATATTTTCCTCTGATAGTTGCACCTCTGGTTTATTTTATTTCAATTTGACATTGAAATTAATTTTCAGTTTGGCATTAATTAAATCACTCAGACACTACTTTTATAGAGATTGGGACATATTAAGTTAAGCTACTCCAGAAAAAGAATTTTGGCAAAGTGGAGTTTCATTTCAGCTTTTTCTTTTGGATCAATCAAACCATGTTACCCAGCTCCCTATTTTAGCTTTCTCCTGTTAGAGCAGCTCCATGAATGCTACATCCCAGTCTTTCCTTGCAACTACCTAAGCTTTGTTGAGACAAACATTAAATAACTTGTCTCAAGATCATTTTAGGTATGAATCTGTTATTATATTTTCATTTTTTACTACCTCTTTACTGTTCTCTAAACTGTATAACTGCATAGAAACTAGTCTTGACTAGGCAAAAATCTCCTCAAAATTCACTTACTGTATCTAACCAGAAAAGATCTCCCTCCATTGAGAACTAAAAATATTGATGAAACATTAACACTCGAATATAACTTAAAAAAACCCTTTGCACTTTAAAGATATAAACAACAAGATAGATGATCAATAAAACGCAAGCATAAGGAACAAAAGACTAGGTAAGTAGATTATAACAATTTTGATATTTTTGGGTAGCCATTAACAGGGTAAATAAAAAATTGGGTCAACAGAGAGAAAACGACAGCTACAGGAGAACAACAGAGCAGGCAGAAATCTGGAAAGGACACATCAGAAATATGTAAAAGACCTGAATATTCTATCTACTTGTGACTGTTTTAAACAAATCACAAACACACATCATAGCTTACCAAAATCATAACGATAGAAGTGCCAGCTTTCGTAACGACCTCCCTGCTGCTGATCTTCCAGACCTTTCTCTCCATATTTATCATACTTCTTCCGCAGGTCTTCATCTTTAAGTACTTCATATGCTCTATTTATTTTCAAAAAATTTTCATGTGCATTTGGATCATTCTGTGTAAGAAAAACGATAATTAGTATGCAATTAACAAACCATTTTGTACATATAATGCTGAGAAAATGATATTTGGAAATATTTTTTATATCTCTATTAAGGATATGAGTTGCAACAGAAGCAGACATTATGCAGTGATATCCAAACAAGCTATAATAAAGCTCTCCTTTCCTGAAGCCAGATGTGTCTTCTCATTTCTTCATCCTCCCTGAAGTATCAACTGAAACACAAAGCAAACTGGCAGGAGGTTGTAACATTCTCCAGTTGAGAAAAAAAAAAAAAAAAAGGTACTCAAGAATAAAGATTTACCATTTTCTCTACAACTTCTTTTACTTCTCTGGAATCACCACTCATCCAGTTTGAAAACCTCTGCTATAAAGACAGATTCATCCCTTCTGGTCTTACAGTGTAGGCAGAGGCCTCTTATTTAAAAAGCATTCTGGTTCTGGACAGCTTTGGAATTAGAATGGTGAAAAATCCGCAGGCATATTTTGAACCCTAGTTTGGGTTTTGAGCAGGTGCCATATAACAGTGGTGAACAAAATCCGCAGCGTTCTCCTACCCTTTCAAATTCTGCTTACAAGTTTAATTCAAAAGACACCTTTTTGTAAAGATTCTCCCCTTGTTTACCTACAAACAGATGAAATCTATTACCATTACAGAACTCATGTAATGGCTTCATCTTCTATATATCATCTTTAATGCTGAAATTAACTTGTTGAAAAATCTTTAGCAGCATCCATATACTTGAAAACTACAGAATCTGACCCAAAATGTTATTATTTTGAAGGGATCAAAACAGGGAAAACAAAACTTGCAGTTAATGCTACAAGTTGGCATTTCTAACTTTGCCATGATTCGGCTTTCTCTTTGAGCTTTGTCATATTCAAATCCACTTCAAAACATTAACACCTCAGAGGCTTCAACATCCTCTGTGCAGGCAGCCCCGAGCTCATGTGGAACATTGCTGTCTTCTGGGGCTCCGTGCAAGTGCAGTTGCACATGTGAAGATCCAAGCCCTCCTATTTCCTGTGAATTTCTGATTATTTCAGAAAATCTTGAGGAAAAACTCATGATGTTTAAATTTAAAAGTGATTTCTTTGTGCTTTGGAAAATATGGTAGCACAGACTGAGCAGTTCCCAGTCTTCTCCAGAAGCTCCATATTTACCCTCCCTCATTTTGCCTTGGCAGTCCCAGATTTTTTGCTTTGTCCTACTGAAGACTAGGAGACCAATATCTCAGCACAGGCTGGTGCTGTTTGCTTTTGATATGAAAATTCACGTTAGGGAAACAGTAAGTTCCCTCAAGCTAAATGGAAAGGGACAAACTCATCAGTTTACTGGCAATAATAGGCAATAGGTACAGACATAAGTTTTCCTCTATTTACAAAAATATAATTGAAAGTAAATTATCTTGACTCTTTTTTTTTTACAACAGCTATTTAATACAGCCCAACACAACCAAGTATCATCGGTCTATCCCTTTCTGTAAATTTTCTCTGCAGAAAGTCTGAGCTGAACCATGTTATCAAGTGGTTACATTACTTCACAAGAAGAGAGAAACATTTTAGATAAATTAAAACCACTTTTAGTTTAAACATGAAGATCCATGAACTCAACAACTCTGACCTGTTAAAGATGTAACTCACCTGATTTTTATCAGGGTGCAACTTTAATGCCAGTTTTTTGAATGCTTGTCTTATTTCTCTACTACTTGCTTCTTTGGATACTCCAAGTAAACTATAGTAGTCCTGATCAGTGCATACAAGAACTATTACACATACTAAAACTAGTAATAAAGATCTTTTGAAGTATCTAATATAATCTCCTTTGGTTACTAAGAACTCCATTATGAAGCTTTTGGAAAGTTTACAGGTTCCAATTCGAGCAGGATTTGGGAAGAGTCTCCAGTAAATAGGTCCACATTCAAAGATACATCTGTTTTTGTGACGGAACTCTTCAAAACGCTGCTTGTCCTACTTCATGTCACAAGTCTCACAAAAGTTGCGACCTATAAAAAGAGGGAGATACAAGGCAATGAAGCACATTTTCTGATTTATTCAATCAACATACACTATTTAAGAGCCAGCCTGCACATGAACATGAAGTTTCTTGATGGCCCCGCTTTCTGGAAACCACTCCAGTGATAGACCCCATCTCCTCTTCGTCTGCCGTGCATGAGGCAATCACGACAGGCTTTAATGAATCACAACAAATCCCAGCCACTTACGCCACCTTAAAAAAACGGGTTTAGGAGGGCTCGCTTTTCCTTCAGACTTACTTTTAGTCCCGCCGGGGGCATTCCACCCGAAAGGACGGGGCGGCTTTGCGCCCGCAGCCCTCCGGGCCGGAGCGCTGCTCCCAGCAGGTGAAGCCGCGCGGAGCCGGGGACCTGTGGCG